GGAATGCGCGATTTCAGGGGCTTGGAGAAGTAAATGTCTACTCGCGATAATAACTGTTAACCGGTGGCAAGAATTTCCAAAAATTGGCGCTTTTGCAACGAGATGTGCACGGCCTCAGTGAGCAGTCTCAGCGCTTTGGCACACCCAATTTTAGTAGCTTTTCCACAAATGCAACTTTGTAATCACGTGTTTTAAAAGGCAAAGAACGGTAATTGCGTCGCAAGAGCGTGTGTGTGTGTGTGTGTGTGTGTGTGTGTCCCCTTAGAAGGCAGCCGACCAATCACGAGTGATTGAGGCGAAGATCGAACCGCACGCAACAGTCAACGGCCACGGATACAAGGAGATGTCACTTGCCCGTTCATTATTTACCTTGAGATAGTAGCCACCGCTCCATCAATCACTAGTCTTGGCCGCTATTGCGCTAAGTGGACATGAAGTATATCTGTCCAAACGTGGCGTTAACGTCAAAACTGCACCCGGTTTCAACGTCAAATTGGGCAAAGTGGATAGGGCAAATGGTAAGTCTCGTGATGAAACTGGGTGCTGTCATTAACGGATCGTCCCGAAGAGCCTATTTGAGGAACAGTTGTACATTCAATGGCCTTGTCAGAGCTATTCAATCCAATCCCAACGCAAAAAAAATATTTCGCATCAAAAGGAGGCGCACAAGCATTGTAAATTTTTTGAGCCTGTTAAGTAATTTTACTTTAAAAAGGCTAAGTAATGTTACTACATCTCGAGCAAAATAATGGGAATCCCAATCAATAAGCTACACTACCTGTATTTATAAATGTTGCCTCACAAGCCACATTCCTGGAAGACAAAACATTAGACAGCAATTAGACGAAGATGCGGAAGAATGACAATCGTTTTCTTTCCAGATTTGCCGGTATGAGCCCTACCCGGCTATAGCCAGGAGCTCCGCCCCTACCGCACAAGTGCTGCTAGTCTCCCATATCTCTGCACATCGATTGTAGGTAGTACTTCTAGACTTCCATATCTTAGAAAGCACATCTTTTATAGGTTATTTACTGGGCCAAGAAGCCACAGAAGAAAGTCATTGATTGAACACACCGGAATCTACAGGGAATCACAAATGAAGGGGCTATGGAAACAGCAACGACCTAACCATTTTGTGCTTGGCTCTACCAATGCCAATTGTGTAAATCAAACCTGGTTACTACGCGGCCACGATGCTGTTCGCCCTTCAAGCATCAAAAAAGCCAAAGTTCAAATGCCAGCTGTAGGAAGTTTTACATGTGTTTTTACACTTAAAAATTATCTGGCGATTTAGCGATTTAGCATTCCTCTGATTCCCAGTTTGTGTTTCTGCCTTACAACATGGCTTTTCAATTGTGCCTACAGCCGCCCAGCCTTTCTGCAAGCTTGTGATGGACCTTTCATGCGATTGTGGTTTGTCACGACTTCAGGGATACCTGAAGCTCTGCAGCATTCTGCGCAGTGGATTTTAGAGCATCAGGCGGGCAGTGCAAACCATACTTACAGCTGGTTGCAAAAAATACGCCTTTTTTCGCATAACCGAAGTGCAAAAAAATGTTGCGCACTTTTTCTAAGAAAATTCAACTCAATCATGAGTCAATAGCTTCTTGTCCCGTCTATGAAAGTATTCACAGAATGTCTAGAGACCTCTTCATCAACAACTGAACTACGTGCTCTAGTTCTCAAGGCCCTCAATTTCAAAGACGTCACTTGATCAGTGAAACGTAGAAATTTTGAGCTCTAAGCGCATGAGCAACCGAAATGGGAGTTCCCCCCTCGCGTGGACCTATTTCTTATTGAGGGACGGAAAGATCCTACGTCGGCAAAAATATGTGAGTTGCATTAGGAACTAGAGCATGTGATTTAATCTCCCCTTTATGGAAAACAAAATACTGTTTTCCTTCTTTGGATTGAAAACGTTCGTTTATCGCTCCTGGACACAAATGGCCAGTAGAGAGAAGGTGGCCTAATTAACTTGGCTCTCGTTCAGCCCTTGCAGAGGGTGTGAAAGTACGCAATTGCATTGGATTTGAAATGCAATAACCAGGCTTCAGAGCAGTCTTATATCAACAAATTTCAAATTCTATTCGAAGAAAGGGTTGACCTTACCTCATGGTATCAGCGAATTGGTAATGCAGTGAATATATACCTAACCGACTTGTCTCCTTAGGATAAATTCGAGATTCTGAGATTGGCCTGTTGAGGCTGCATATTTAGGCAGTACATCCACCGGTGCAAAATCGACTATTTCCGGTCTTCTGTAGGTGCTAAACTACCAATTTATCCCTCCAGCGGTTTAGAACGACCTACATTCGATATGAAATTAGGCAGCCTTTTGAATATCCAACGCTTTAGGAGCTTCATAATACGCATACAATTCATTTTGGCTAGTTCTTCTTAAAAAAGCAGAGAAATGGTGATAAGAAGGATGTTGACCCTGTTCACCCACTCCTTGACCAATTCTGAGATGCCGTACAAACGAAATTTTACTCTACAAAATCGTTGATACGAACTTGGATTACAGTGAAAAATATTTTGAGAAGGCCTTCTCTGTTTGATAAATGAAGACGTCCATGAAAGACATGGTTTGTCGAAATCCAAACTGCCCCTCAAAAAATTTTCTTTTCTTTTGTCATGGTGTCCCAAATTCGGAATGACTCACCACAAGAAAACCAAACCAAGCATGTAGTTAGCCCGCCGCCGGTTCGCCACCTATAGGTTAATCAGGGCAGTAGCTATTATCAGAAGCAGAAATTTTGGTGGTTCTTTATGACTATTGTTACCTTTTCATGAAAACCGACTTCCAAGCTAGAGGAAATTACTGAAGGAGAAAAGTAAGCTCAACTAATTCACAAAGTTAAAAATAAGGACCACGAAAAGCAAACGTTACATGACTCGATTTCCCATGAGGAATTTGCAGACAGGTATGCGTTGTTTGGAGTGAAACATGGGGTAGACAGCTGAATGTTTAGTGCACGCGATCCCTGAGAATAGGTGGGAAAATTGCATGAGAGGGACAACAGTGGCAGGAGAGAGAGCAGATTAGCTACCATTCAGGAAGCTGCTATTTTGGCAACCCGCTCCCTACAACCTAGCCGCCTGGCTAATTGACTGCTGTTTTCTCCTCTCGAAGCAAGAGACGGGAGGTATGATCAAGATCGAGGGTTAAAAAAGAGGACCTTGATGGCTGAATCGGGTTTCACTAGATAATTTTCACCTCGTAAGCACATATTAATGAGGAACTAAAAGACTGCGTGCAGCTGATTAAAAAATTTGCTATCATTGCTACCTAAAGACCTTGTTGGCCTAATGCAACACCAGTCGCCATAAATTGTTTCGCGTGTTATTGTAACATAATATGATTTTGGAACCAAAAGCAAGACCATTCCAAAAATCAAACTAATTTTGCCACCTCCTAAGACTTGTCCTACTGCTAAGGGTATATGTTCTGGAGGCTAATTTTGGCAGCTGAAGTAGAATAAACTGGAAGGGCGTGAACTTGTAGCGAAAGAATTAAGTGACTTCGTAAATCGCTCAAATTAGTAGCTATTAAAAACGGTAAGTAGCTTGGTTTCGGCTTAAAAATACGTAAATTAAAACATCCTGAAAACAGAACAATCTTTGTTTGCTATTAGGAAGGTTCCACTTCAGAAAAAAGCTTGTAAAATCTACAGTCATGCAAGTGATTGCATACCAATAAAGTAGTCAAACTAAGCTATTATTTCCTCTGATTCACTAAGCACTTGCCAGTTTGTAGTATCTGGTATCTTATCCAACTAAAAAGAATGTTTTCAAGCTACGTGAAGGTAAAGAACAAAATAATGAACCATTGACAAAACCCTGCCTAAATGGAGAGGCAGAAGGCCAGTTACGCAAACGCCCCACTGCTACCACAAATCCGGTCGCGTGATTGGACAGTTCATCGGCTAATGAAACGACAGCCTTGGGAGTAGTTTCCCGGCAGTGGTGACGGCTTGGGATTGAGTAGGCAAAATTACGAGTGCAAAGGAACTCACCCGGTTCGTGATCCCAATCCAGATCCACGGGAGATTCAAAGTCCCCGGCAAAGCTGTCCGGTGCAGACCTGTTTTCATCTAAACAAAGAATGATAAAAGGGAGGAGCAATGGTTAGCAAGTGCAGTTTGGCTCATAACGTAAAAAGAATAATCTACAAACTGGGTTATAGTTTACAGACTTAGCCATCTTTATTTTTATATATGCAGGGTATTTATAGCCTGATTCATAAAATTTACAGCAATGGCAGCGCTACAGAGAATGAGGCAGGCGATCGCTAGTGGTCTGCGTGTTGGTAGCGCTGGTGTCTTAACAAAGCACAATTTACTCAAGGCCAGTAAACCGAAGTGAAATAAGTTGGGGACTTTCATAGAAGGAGTAGGAATGAATCTTTGTGCAAATTGGGTATTGTTGAAAAGGGGTGCCTTTTGTGGATCATCTATGGCCTGTAATTAATAACAAGATCCCTAACATGTATGATTATTAAAGCACTACTACTGGGCCAAGCTACAGTGACGGTCAGTGGACGCCAAAGGCAAGTATCGAAGCTCTGCAACATAGCTCAGTTCACAAAACCCTTCTATGAAGAAATCATTCCAATAATCAAAAAAATCGCCTTAAACCCCTACGAGCTAATAGGCACATAAGAAAATTATCACGAGTAAGCTAATTCTTCCTCATTTCCAAAGATGCGGTCTCTCCACACAAAAATTAAGTATTTCAATGATTCCAAGAATCACCTAATGGTCTCATTATTAAAAAGGTCAAATGAGAAAATTTGGTTTTTATTTAAAAAATGGAAAGAATGCTTTTGAAGAAGTCAAAGAATAAGAAAAAAAAATGATTCAACTGTAATCTAACAAAGATCTCAGTCGTAAACGTTGAAGAACGTTCATTTATGCGTCAAATCGTACGCGCTTCAAAAAACAGTTCTGGGAGTGCCCTCTTCCACTAGAAACATGGTTTGGCTTCAACAAAAAAGCAAAACGCGGCGGTTTGATCTCATCTACTCAGCGTACACGTCCATTTAAACGGGTAGAATTGTGGGTGAGCTGTCCTTCCGGATTTTGTCTGGTCCTCCTAGCTTAACCAGTGCTTATTTCGAATAATTATAAACTGCTTCCTCCGTAAACCAGAGACCTCACTCAGATGTGTGTTTTTGTCACATCACCCCCAATAGCGACTCTGGCAGCTTTTACCAGATTTAAATTGGCTACTAAGGCATTCTCATCCGAAGATCTTTTTAATCCCACTTTCTCATGTTACCAGCAAAGACTTTACTTGCTAAACACTTGGTTTTATCTTTTCTGTTATTGATTGCCCAGTTGCAGGCACATCCATTTTTCTACTATTCTTCAATTTCTAGAAGTAGTCTGCATGATCCTTCCTTAATTCCTCGAATTCACCGCTTCAGATCGCTGGTCTTCCGAAGCACCTCATATTTCACACGCCAGTACGACCGTTTGAGAACGCTTCACTTCACCCACAGATGGCTGCACAGGAGGGGACTCCTTATCCCGACAACGAACGCGCATCGCATAGGGGGTAGATCCAACCACCCCGTACTTTAAAACCAAAATACCTAGCATTTTACAGAACTTCGTTTATTTTCCCTTGGTAACATTCACTTGGAAGTTGTGCAGCCTTTTTCAACCTAGGGTACCAGCCCTCACCATCGAAATAAACTGCAAGGGTGGTTGACCTGCAGGACCGAAGCACACCTGATGCGCTCAAATGCGGAAAATCTGCTCTTCCTACCCTCCTGCTTTGCCCTTCACCTTCACTTTCCCCCTTCAAACCTTAAAAATCAGTCAAGAAACGGGCATTCTCCTTATAAAAATACAAAAGACCAAGTTCCACAAATGTTTAGGCAACTCGAGGCATGGCCAAGCGAGAATTTTGCCCGTTCAAATGCAAAGCTGTTTCCCGTATTCTTAACTTCTAAGGGCAAGTGTTAGTTATTGATGATCATGCAATGAATATACTGTGTCGTATTTATCGGAAGCAACGAACAAAACGATCCCACTTATTTGTTGACTTCTAAAATGTGCATTGAAACGAGTACGAAGAGGTGTCCATTAGTGGTTGAATCACCCGCCCTTGAAAATATCGTTTAAATAAAGCATTATGTTTATTTTCTGAATTAGGTACAGCAAAGCACTTTAAACGCTCACAATGATATGTCCCAAGGTTTCCTATAACTAGTTAGATTTTAAAACCTAGCAATCAATCATGCTTCATGCTTAATGTAATTGCTGCTAGCGCCGCACATACGTGACATTCCGGCTTCCTCGTCTCTACTCAAGGTCACCAATATGTGATACGTGCACTCTGGCAGCATACGATAACTGGTTGTACCAACGGTTGTGACTCAAATAGACTGATCGAGCTTGATGACGATAAATGGATAGATCTAGGATGGCCACAGTCCGAAGACAATTACATCCACCCTGCTTTTTGGTAGCACATCTTTTGTGGGCTGCAGTGATAGGGACGACCTCTCGGATTCTGGTAGCAAACGTGATAAGAAGGGTAGCCTGTTTTTGAGAAGCAACGAAGAAATCCATGGTCGAAGTCTTGAAACGCAGAAGAACTTGTAAATATGCTGGTATCCCTTTAAAACCTTTTTTCGTAGACGTGACGAGCATTCAAATCAGAGGAGTCCCGAACAACATAACTAGACACCAATGCGGAACATTTCTACACCTAATTTTTCCTCGTTAAACGAAGAGAAGGCTTCCCTTAATAGGCTTACAAATACGAAGGGAAAGCATTGACAAGAGAAATTACCTGACTCCACACCATCTCGCGCCTCTGTGCAAAGCTAAACAAGTTGGCATGTGGATGATAGAGGAACTTTGTAACCTACTTGCGTGATCCAAGCGCATGCAACTAACCCAAGTAACATCTGGGTGATTAGCTTAGTTCAGATAGGAAGACTAGTGTCTGATTTTATTTAATCGGCAATCTTAGTTATCGCTTCAACGACTTTTTGCAATGGTAGAATGGCATTTAGCATATTTTAATATCATTTAAAAGCAGGTAAACAACTACATCAACCAAAAAATTCCTCTCTGATGATAAAAGAAAAAATGCCACTTAAAATGTAGGCAAAAATATCACCTGATAAACCCTCCACTTTCATTTTTTGAACGCACAGATAATGTGAAGATAACGCCAAAATCCTGCTAGTAAATGGAAAAATTGAAATAGTGCGCATCGCTGATCATCTACCGTCGACAATTCAGGCATCAATACAGCCCGTCCCATGAAAGTGGAAATGCTGATCAGAAATTTGAACTGCATTTAGCTGTCAGATGTGAATAGGTGAAAGCAAAAAATGGACGTCGGTGGGTGGGTGGGTGTGCGTAGCACTACGTGAAAATACGTCTTCGAAAGCACAACCAGAATATGGTGGGAAGTGGGAGAAATCTGGGAACAAGGGGGAACTACGGGAAATGTCAGGGAGTAAGAAAAGTCCACAAATCAATAGCAGGTGAAGTTGGACGAAGGTAATCGTTATAACCGTCTCTTTTACGGCGCAATTCAAAGCCCTTTACTCACGCCTTTCCCTGTACTTTTGACATTCTAGAAGCGTACTGTTATTCGTTAATAAAAGCTTGTACAAGGAGGCAAGATGATATGAGGATAGCGTCAGTTAAAAAGTTGGGTAGCTTTACCTAACGCAGTGACAAAAAACCCAGCGTGTGACAGTACATTCAGGTGTTATTTTCAGAGTGGAAAAATGTTTCACTTAAAGCTAAAAAAGCGCAACTAATCGATGACATTTTAACTAAGCACAAAGTTGGGAAGTTTTAACATATTATTGAGGTAAATAAGTATGGAGGAAGCCACTCTATGGTCAAAAGTCACTTTCTGTTCATTTTTAAGAAGCGTTTATGTCGATGTTAAATGTTGAATGGTTAGAAGGACCGAGAATGGTTTTGACCACGTGCAAATAATATTCACGTTGCGGAAACAATTCTCCTCTAGGTAAAGTTCGGAAAGTAGGCCATTTATTATTTTTTTCGTCCTAACGGAAGGAGTAATCGCGGAGATGATCCGTTAGGTGCACCAATAACAGACCGCTGAAGAATACTGGGTCAAACTTTTGCTACTGAAACAGCCCAAAATTAAGGCCACGCTAATAGTTAATATGGGTTTTATAAAACGCAAAACAACTCGTTCCACGAATGGCGCATCAATCTACCTGGCGTCTTGTTGGACATGTTGCGAAAGATGTTTACGTAACAGTTACGATGGTCATAGATCGGATGAATTATTTCAAAATTAATAATGCTAGGTTTGAAACTGCATTCCCACTCAGTATCACGCTTAAACGTATTTCTTGAGCTAATTTTAATTTTGGACTTCCATACTTCTCTACAACTACGTTTCAGGCAGTGTGAAGTGAAGCCGAGGAGGTAAATATCCACTTTAGGTGTAGAAATTGTATCAGCTTGGATAATCGAATGGGCCCTGACAGAACGAGCACTGATTCTGGGGTTGCATAAGACAAGGGACTAGTGCGTCTGTGAGCCCATGAAAACACGAAGATTAACTCGGATTTGCTAAAAAGCGACATGCTCAGATGGAAGTTACAAGAAACCCAGTTAAGTGTTTGCAGTCTTAAACAATGGTGGCATTGTGCATCCTATGCCCGCCCTCCGTAAAAAGGACAATGCAATGTGGGGCGAGATAAGCCGAAGCCTCCCACCACGATAGTGAGCCCATTCACAGTGCTATGACGCTATTAACACTTAGGAAAGGAAGCAAAATTACAGTCTCGTGGGTGTCAAGTATACTTGACATGGATGCATTTTTCATCAAGCAACTATATTTACATAGTTGAGAAATACGATCGGAAATGCCATTTGGGGCATGAGCAGACTATTCCTAAAAAGTTGAACCGCATTTAACTCTCTCCTTGCACCAGTTTTTAGTTTTAATCGAATGATGATCCGTTTGGCTCTTCCTTTTATGTGACACTTTGTTCAGACTCATGTGAATGACAATCAGCTAGGAGGGGTGAGACCGGCGCTTTCGGAGTAAAAAAGGTCCACGCAAACATCGCGTTTTGAGTAGTACCAAGGTCAGTAGCAAATAATCACTCGGATATCCTCACCTCTGGTAAGAGTATGTGAAGTATACAGTTTTTGCCAAAGTAAATGACACCAGTTAAAATATCGAAGAGAAGAGTGGATTTAAATATCAAGTGATCAAAAGAGTTGATGCTGTTTTCGGGACAGATAGATAAAATGACATCTTAGTGCAAATTACTTCACATCGCCTGTTTGCAAGTACGCACACGGGCCGATCGTGCGGATAGAACAACAAGATCACCCATCCGACTTGGACGACGGACGATTCATGCACAGCTGGGCGGCTGAACTACAGTCATGATCCAGATACCAGTTACACGCCTGTGTAGTCTTTGACTACCCCACACCTCCAGCATCAATATCGCAATGCGGTACGTGGAGTGCCTGCGTTCCTAATAGAATGCTTCTTCACTAGTCTTCCCCCTCTGATCCGATTGGTAGGGTTATCACGTTTCTCCTTACCACGCCCACTGCGTAATTAATGGCCTCGGAAACACAACCAATAACGAAAAAGACATTACTGCTCCAATGCCGACGGAGGAGCCATACGATTCTCAAGGCTGTGCTACTGAAAGGCATGGGAGGATCAGAAGAAATATAGCCACGAAAACCATCCTAGCCACTTAGGCATGTGCGATCCTAGATAGGGCCAATGAAAATTGATCCATTCGTAAACAACTACGGCTTAACTACTTAGCTTCCAACACCAAAGCTATCCTGCCCATTCAAGCCTCTGACACTCCACTAGAAAAACGAGTCGCAAATTTAGCTTCAAGGTGCAAATATTCATCAAACATTCTACCCTCGGTACAATGTTCCACGGCTATTCTTGAGCATGATGTATAGCTGTGATCCGTATAGTAGCTATCCACAAATTTGTCATCCACACCTACATACAAGCTCTCCACCAAATATGACTAAGACGTCGCTGCTATACAGTGAACAGCGCGTCCGCTTTAAATAGACCGCATCTTTACTAAAAACCATTGACTCCTCTTTTGTCGATCGAGTGTCAAGAGACAAAACCGCTACCCTAGTGCTGGTGCTATAGGCTGTTCAAACTAAGTTCATACAACTCGTGCAAAAGCTTCTAAAGGCAATTGTTATATCCGTGGGTCGCTCATTTTTGTGCTCTCTACTACTTTCCCCAAATTTTAACCCTGATTTCATTGAGTATCGGTTCAACTTGATGGATGCGATTCGAGTTCAGCTATCTTACGAGGTAATAATAAACTCGTCTTCATAGTTGAGGCTGCAAAACTTCGCGAAGCTTCTCGTGTAACGTCTAGTACAACATTTGGAGGCATACCACCTCAAATAGGTTCACAAAATTGTTTTGTTGATGAGTCACACAAGTAATTTGAAACTGCCATGGTAATAACAGCCTTCAGCAATGAAACAAGTTTTTTACACCTACAACAACCGCGAAGGGAGGTCGTAAGTGGGACGCAACCACGTACACTAACAGCAGCTAGCAGCAGGCTCCAAAGGCATTGAGTTTGCTGCCCTTCTTTCCTTGGATTGTATGCGATCCTGACTGACACGTGATGAGAGGTGGCTGTCATAGTTCATCGTTAAGTCATTTCACGTTTCCAAAGTTCGAGCCACCCCACTTCCTGAAAATTATGCTTTGTGTATGGATTGCAGACAGAATCACTCATTTGCCGAAGGTCAAACAACCACGACAGAGATTTATTCATTCGATAAAGCCAAGCGCAACTCGAATATGTGCAAGTAAAATTTTTCCTTCAGGAGTAGCTAAGACTAATCAATCAGTCAGTGGAAATACCCTATTCTTGCAAGACACTGCAAGGCCTCATACGGCATACCCTAAAACTTACCTTTGGGATTCTACGGTTAACCCTCCATATTTCTCCGGTATTTTACAGAGATGGAAACGAAGGCTATTAGTGCCGTTTCGTTTGCTTCTAGTGTTAAAGTCTTATAAAAATGGGATTC